AAAAAAAAAAAAAAAAAAAAAAGAAAACAGCTTGACATTGAAAACGACCAAATGTATCTACAGATCTCTCGGGATATTGTACTGGTTTCCTTAACAAGTGTCATGATATAAAGGGCACATCTTATATATGTAGGACAATCTTTTCAAATATTTTCAAGCGTATCGACACGTGTGGATTTCCTTGCAAATTTTTTACAATGCAAAGTTGAAACAGACAGACAGAGACACATAAGAGGAATTTATTCTCCACTAAAAGTTCTTTCAAAACAGTGTTATCTTAAAGGTTTTGAAAAATAAAGCAATAAATGATACCCATCCAGCATAGTTTCAGATTCCATTTCTGAATGGGAATTACCAAGCTCCTGTATTCTCGGAGCATGACCAATTATCAAAGGTACAAACAACAGCCCGACATACAGGTAAAACACATAGCATCTTCAATCAATAAATCAAGGAGCCCATTCAAATAAATACTATTTAGAGAGTATAAAAAAGAGGAGAAAAGTCACAGAGGGTAAATGAAGAAATCCATTAATTCAAGCTGCAGTAAGAAAGTAAATCATCACTTATCAGGATTCAAAAGTATTTTAGTATCATGGCTGACTACTGAACACCATATTAACAAGAACAAAAGAAATCTCTAAACTCCATATTAACAATTCATCTTTCGACACGCAAGCAAACACGAACAAATCAAACAAACCCCTTTGAGACCAAGAAAGAAGTTCCTAAGGCAGCAAATTTCAATCACTCCAATAACAATTCAAGCATTATCATCTAACACTAGCACTGGCAAACAATGATCTACTGTAACAAAAACTAAAAAATCTACTGTTATTGGAATCACTCCAATCACAACGCAAGCAAAACAACACAAATAAATTGGCTACTAAAACAGAAACACATCAATTAACAACAAATAAACGAAAAAATATACAGAATTATCCTGAAACACACACACTGACGCGAATTAAACTTACGGCAGCTGCGAAAAAGGTCTTATCCCCAATCTCAGATAGCACCGTCATCGCCAACGACTTAGTAAAACCCTGTCAGATTCACGAAACACAGAAACTAAGGATGCTGTTTCCTGGGGTAAGGCACTATAAGCTTTATAATTTTAGACTTTGTAACTTAAACTACATTTTGTAACATTTCAAACTCTCACAATTGCATGGTCATCAAGTACACTGTCTAAATTTTGAAACCACCTCCAAGGTTTATTATGCCTAATGTCAAATGGACCGATTTATGTTTCAAAATTATGAATACTTATTAATTTAGAGTTCACAGTCAAATGAGTGTATTTGTTAGATGAGTATTCTGTTGGAAGATAACTAGTGCTTCTGTAATTAGGCTAAAACCTAAGGGTGATTTATTTAAAAAAAAAATATTGAAATTAAGTGGACAAAAAAAAAAAGAAAAATGGGAGTGGACAAGCATAAAACACACGTATTCCTTGAATACGTTTTTTAAAAAATAAAATTAATTAAAAAAACGTATTCCTTGAATACGTTTTCATTTAAATGTTTTAATTAAAAAAAATCGTAAACAATTTTCAAAATAATTTTCGTTAAATAAAAAAATAATAAAAAAAAACCGTATTTAAGTAATACGTTTTCAGAAAACGTATTTACTAAATGCGTATTAAAAAAAATTATTTTTTTTTAAAAAATTCGTTTAATCAAAACGTATTTAAGGAATACGTTTTACATTTAAATGTACAGAAAACGTATTCCTTAAATACGTTTTGCGTAAAATATATTAAAAAAAAATCTTTCTTCTCCATTTACGCGAGCGAGCAGCACAGAGAGGAGCACTACAGAGAGCATTTTTTCAAAGAGAAGAGCGAAATTAGTTGAGAAAAAAAAAAAACTCGATCCAATCTTCACTCTAACGTGAACCGACAACAGCGACACGAGCCTTATTTCCGGTTAATTCATTCGCACGAGGTATATTGGTTTATCTTAACTTTTTATATTTGTTTGGAGTTATTTGGAGATTGATAATTGTTATAATATGTTTGAATGTGTTGGTGTTTGAAACTTGAAATTGGTAATTGATTAATGATTATGTGTGTATGTTGAATTGGATATTGAAATATTATGTGTTAATTGTCAATTGTGTAATTGTTTGGTTGTTGTTGTGGTTAGGGTTTTTTGAAATTAGGGTTTCAATTTATCGAAATTATAGATGATTTATATGTTATTGTTCGATAAGGGGATTATTTGATTGAGAATGATTTTTTTTTTATGGTTTTTTTGGTTGAAAGTGAATTATATGTTATTGATGGATTATGAGTATTAGGGTTTGATAAATGAATTCGTGATTTTATTTTTAACAGGTATAAATGGCGTCTGCCGGACTACCATACTTTGTTAATGTGTATTGGAATTATCCCAAAGAGGTTTTAGATTCATTTTCAGATTTTATAAACCGTCCGGATGGTTCATTTTGCATTGAGGAGAAGATATCATTTCAACAATTTGTAGATATACTTTATGAAAATTTTGGTTTCCGTCGAAATGGTTTGACAATTGAGGGGATTAGTTTACTGACAAACCGACCCGATGGTTCGTGGAATATCGGAAACATGAATACTGATAGTGCCTTTGAGTGGATATATTATTTTCCTGCTTTCTCCTATGTGTATTTGCATTTAGAGTTGAAGCAGGTTACGCAGGCACCTGCAGTGATTACACAGTTTGAGGATGTTCCCCCTTTTTACGGGGGAGTGCCTGATTTTGAAGGTACGTCCACTTCGCATGTTCGTAATTTTGGCGAAGGGACAAGCACAACAGCCAGAGAAGAAACCGATGATGATTTCATTCTTGATGAAGACGATTTCATAGATGATACATCGGAAACGGAATCGGATACAATAATAAGCGAGGAGAGTGATCCAGAGTTTATTGAAGAGC